CTACAGTAGCCCAGACGGGACAAAACAAACAGTGGCTAGAGATAGAGGCATTCATGTTCTTTAGTTAACAGTTAACAGTGTGACTGGTTCGTCTGGTTTTCCCAGTGCTGAGGGGTCAGCATGATAAAGTTTCACTGAAACCTGAACAGAGCAGGAAGTTTCATTCACACTTGGCAAACCAAACCTTGTGAAGTTTTGCTTGATAGTGCATTACAAGCACACCACCTACACAGAGGCTCAGCAGCAGAACAATAGAGCAGTTCATCATATTCACATGGCGTTTTTTCCTCTGACATCACGCTCAGGGTGGGTATTTCACTACTTTCCGACTGATCAGCAACTAAAAAGACAATGGATAGTGAAAAGCACACGTTTCACCGATATGTACGAAACTCGGTAGGCACGTGGTAACTCACCAAGACGTACAAAAAGGCCTCTTGACCCATACCCAAACCCCACGGGAGGTCGGCCATTTTGATTTTCTGTTTTTCACTTTGGTGATTTTTCGCCGTTGTATTTTGAACCTCCTCCTCGGGAATTCATCGGATCTCGCTTCAAAATTGGTCAGTCCAGACACAAAATGGTGCTGATAAAAGTTGTGCTATTTGCTGCATGTATGTTGAAAGGCGTGTCCGTAGCGTGGCATCAAAGTCAGCCCTTTTGGCTTTTTTGCTCATTTTCGGTAATTTTTCGCCTTCTATTTGAACGCTCTTCTAGGGATTATCGGATCTGCTTCAAAATTGGTCAGTACAGACACAAAATGGTGCTGCATTAAAGGTTGTGCTATTTGTGTACTTACGTTGAAGTGCGTGTCCGTCGGCATGCTCGTCAAAGTTGGCCATTTTGACTTTTTTGTCATTTTCGTTTTTCGCCTTCTATGACGACATCTCTTCTAGGGATTTATCGGATCTGCCCTTCAAAATTGGTCAGTACAGACATAAAATGGGTGCTGATTAAAGTTTGCTATTTGCCATGTACATTAAAGGGCGTGTCCGTGGCATGCCATCAAAGTTGGCC